TAGGTGTCCAGTCTTGGTCTTTCTCCCAGCCGAAATCCTCAGGAGAGGGAAGAACAACCATTGGTTGATCACTGACAGTCCATATTCCGGCTTGATATACTGCTCTAAGGACATGCTGGAGTAAAGCATCCTAAAAGATACATACATGGTGTGAATTGTTGCTTAATATTCAACTATTTACGCATCATTCTATTTACCTGTGTCGGAGGAAGTCTTTCTATTGCCTTTACTGAAGAACAAAAAAGGGCCATCCTAGCATCATTTACACATCGATGAGGACAAGCTTTGTCATACATCACGATTACAAATCTTTCGATCGTTGAGAAGATATCACTGTTGAGGSTAAGCTTCTGAAATGGTTCTTTTGACAAAGACTCCAACGCAGGTGTCAATTCCGGGAAGTTATTCCAAGCATTCCAAGCCGATACCTTGCTCTTTCCATAGAAAGTGGAGGTAGTATCGCAGCCAGTCAGCGCATGGAATACTGGAAGTGATTGTGCTTTAGATTTCCCGAGAAAGCTAGAAATACCATTAATGTGCTTGAAGGAGAAATTACGCCCCATTCCAAATGCTACCCAGAGATCTAATCCAGGATAACGTGCATAGATATTGTGAAACRTTCCCACCAGGATGACAATGACGTCAGTATCCACAGTTCTCACCTCAACTGTCTTGGCATTGTCTGAACTGAGAGCATGCAATAGGTGGACCACAATTCTGGAGTCTGCTTCCTCGTGATTRCATTCGGTCATTGGACTGCTGGAGCCATGAGACACAACTGATGATCCTACAACACGATARAAATACCAATGTTTAAACAAAAATCAATAATACAAGAAGATAATTTAAAGAGTCCTGACTAGAATTACCTGATGTGATTGTTACAATGGATTCAACGGGCCATGTATATCTTTCAACTTKGGAAGTAAGAAATGCAAATAGCTCTGACTTATTTAGGGGGTCGCGGAGGAACTCAAGCCACTTTGGAGGTAGTTTTGTCTGGCMTTCCACTTTTCTTCTAAGCMCTTTTCCTCTCTTCTCTCGAGTAGACTGCTTTAAACTKCCAGGTCGGTAATCATCCCAAACTATGTCAACTCTCTTGGTTTCATCTAGCTGACGTAAGATATAAGGTATAAATACGCTCTCTGCATATTCATCAAAATTTGAAGCATCAATTACTGGCAAGCTGTGTACTATCACTGCACCATCTAGAATCTTGCAGTCAAAGTGGCTAGGCACTTTGGCATTTTCTTCTTGTAGCAAGCATTTAAGTAAGTCYGATTTGGAATTCGGCAGGCGAAGTTTCCCATATTCTGATATTGATGGAGKGTACTTATGGGCCTCATGTGAGAAAAATTCTCTTATATCTCCATCCCGAGTCTGCAGAGATATATACAGCTGTGAAAACAGGGAAACATCATCTTTAAGAGAAGCTATTTGTTTGCATTGCTTTGATTGTGAGTTGCGTGGTTGCTTAAACAAGGAGAGCTTGTTCTTCTTAATCTTGTCATGGATGGGCGTTGTGCCTTTGACAAGGACATTTTGCACAAATAGATCATACTGTTTCTTTCCTGTTTCGTCGAGGTTTCGTATCGATTCAGCTACGGATGGATCAGCACAATCACGACTATCAGCTACGACTAATTCTGGAAAGTTATCCAGAAATGGATTGCCCATTTTCTTGAAAACTTCAGTCAAAGATACAACGTGTTGTACGAAGGTTTTCTGTGCAGAGGAGCCTGTTTCGTGATGCAGAAATACATCGGGATTCTCAGATTCAGTGGTATAATTCACTTCGAATTGTTTCACAAGCCTTGATAGCTCTGGTCCTGAAAGCATCCAGCGCCTAAAAAKRTATTTTTCACTTAGTTTAGACATAGAAACAGCGCATATTGTCWTATGGAAAGTATGCCAATAAATACAGCTATCATTATTAATGTCCGATCAATGCTACTTAAAAABAATTTACCTGAAAGCAACAGGATTTTCAGTGAGACCCACTGCTMCACCAGAACTCTTGACAATTTTATTTTCTTGTTCATGCGCTTGATCTAGTGGCATKGTAGAAAAGTTGTTGGTAGTCTTWGAAATGGCCCAGTGTCCATTCTCTTCAAATTCTTTCTTGATGCTATCTGGGAGTGATCTCATGTCCCTCAGGTGCACTGGCATCCATCTTGCATAATTAAYGTGGTCAAGTGCAAAGAACAGWGGAATCAGGCTATCTAGAGAATCAATGTACAACTGGAAATTTCTCTCTCTGTGAGCTCTAACAAAYAGCAATACTAAAGTTTGGTAATGGATAATTTTGCTCCAGAACATGAACGTTGGGCTATTTKTGGTCATYCGTTTTTYCCAGACATCAAAGGTTTCATTGGGACTGGTTTCAGTAAAGGCTGCTTTCTTTAAATTAGTCAGCGTTAAAAGAGTTATCTGATGGGCACGCCTGAA